GCCAGCACCAGTTTTTCAAAAGACTTCATGACCACAGACGTTAGTAGATTAACAAAAAAACACGGGGTGGATTTGTATCATTATCGGGTGGTTGTGTACACACACTGCCTACACACATTTCAGTTTAAACAGCTTGTACAAGTGCATGTAGCATTATATGACCCCTTTAAGAAAAACACTAAAATGTTTAACAGATAATTATTTTTCAAACTCAATAATGATTTTGGATATTATTGAACTCCTGTATTCATTAGTATAAAGGCTTATTTCAGTAAATATGTATATTTTTACATTTTAAAGACCATCTTAAACAACATTACAATAAACAGGTCGATTTGTGTGGGGCACACTTTTTTTTTTTTTTTTTTTTTTAATAAAATAAAATATATGTAATTTTTTTAATTCTGCAATAAATATAGGCCTATATAAAAGAAAAAGAAAACAATTTTGCAAACATACAGGAGAACGGCATAAAATCAAAAGTTCATCTCATCTTCGGCCTCAACTCTGAGTCTGTCTCGGTGACGTCACGGCGCACATGCGCGTGGAGCTGAAGGCTGCCGCTTTGCTTTTATTTGTATCATGGCGAGATACATGCGACCTCCAAACACGTCTCTGTTCATCAGAAACATCTCCGATGACAGCAGGTCAGTGTGTACTAATGTGCTTAATGTTCGACTCTCACCTGAAGCTAAATTCATAAACTAGAACACGAGTGACTAAAATGTTTAACAGATAATTATTTTTCAAACTCAATAATGATTTTGGATATTATTGAACTCCTGTATTCATTAGTATAAAGGCTTATTTCAGTAAATATGTATATTTTTACATTTTAAAGACCATCTTAAACAACATTACAATAAACAGGTCGATTTGTGTGGGGCACACATTTTTTTTTTTTTTTTTAATAAAAAAAATTAATTGAAACAAAAAACAGGGCGATTTGGGTGGGGCACACATTTTTTTTTTTTTTTTTTAATAAAATAAAATATATGTAATTTTTTTAATTCTGCAATAAATATAGGCCTATATAAAAGAAAAAGAAAACAATTTTGCAAACATACAGGAGAACGGCATAAAATCAAAAGTTCATCTCATCTTCGGCCTCAACTCTGAGTCTGTCTCGGTGACGTCACGGCGCACATGCGCGTGGAGCTGAAGGCTGCCGCTTTGCTTTTATTTGTATCATGGCGAGATACATGCGACCTCCAAACACGTCTCTGTTCATCAGAAACATCTCCGATGACAGCAGGTCAGTGTGTACTAATGTGCTTAATGTTCGACTCTCACCTGAAGCTAAATTCATAAACTAGAACACGAGTGAGCGGGATTTTCTCTTGTGCATACTAGCGAAGCATGCTAACTACTCATCGCTAGCAGTGTTGGACGAAGTACACAAATCAAGTACGTGAGATCCGTATTATAACATATTACTCAATTTTCAATTTTACTCGAGTGAAAGTACTTGATTTTTTTATGTACTTATGTAAAAAGTACTGATGGATGATTGTTTATTTTTCAGTTTTATATAGGCTACTTTTATCATTTAATTTTACATTAGCATATATTTTTTTTTACTAAAAATAACCAATAAGGAAATAATGAATATAATAAGGAAAATATAATTCGATTTTCATAATGATTTTTTTCTTCTTAAACCTTCAAATGGCCCCAGATCACTGTAATTAATCATGTTCTGAACATCACATCCTTTCTTTCCCCCCAGATGTAATCTTAAACCTTCAAATGGCCCCAGATCACTGTAATTAATCATGTTCTGAACATCACATCCTTTCTTTTCCCCCAGATGTAATCTATCCAGGTGGTTGAATACAAATATTTGGACTTTATTAAAAAAATTACAATTTAGCACCAGCAAGCTCGTTAGCTAGACAGTTAGCATCAGCTAACATTGACTTATTTTCAGCATGGTTATGAAGAAACATTTATATTTGTCTACTCGGCTAGTTGATCCAGATGCATAGTAACTTAGGCTATGTGTGCTGACAAACAATATAAAAACAGACGTCACATAGGGCTAAATGCATAGCATTTTAGTAAAACTACTAACGTTACAGCAACGTGCATGAGTTATTTGATTTAATCTGTGTTATTTGAATGTTTTTTGACCTAAAACATAGAGACTCTGATGTTGATGTGTCTGCATTCAAGCATTTAAACAGATCACCCTTTACAGCAGATTTAGCTCACACGCAACTGACAGCTTTGACCTAAATATGATTTTCAGTTATGATTATTAATCCTAAAATTCGACATTAGTAACTTATTTTAGCAGCATCAGACGCGCGCGCGGTTGTTACTTGTGAGTTCAGTTCACTGGAGACTCGCTCTAAACGGTTCATTTGAATCAGAGAGTCGTCGACTCGAGAACAGCTGCAATAGGATCATTCTAATTCATCAATGAATCGTTTGGTGTGATTTGCAAACAGATTTAACGAGTTCATTGAAAAGAATCAGTTCATGTGATATATTATAAGGAGTAACGATATGTTTTATGAAATGTAGTGAAGTAAAAAGTACGATCTTATGCTTTGGAATGTAGTGAATTAAAGTTACTCAAAATAAAACGACTCCAGTAAAGTACAGATACTTGAAAAATGTACTTAAGTACAGTAACGAAGTAAAACTACTCCGTTACTGTCACTGTAGAGTTCAGCTGGATTAAATGGTCAAAAATAAGTGCATAATTGATCTGTTTGTCTCATATGTTGAATGTTTTTAGTCTAATATTTGCTGCGGGATTGGATTTCTTCTTCTTGGACTCATGCATATTAATGAGGAGCTCTGCATACATAATGAGGGACATTCCAGACTCAGATTTCAAAGTCCGAATATTTAACCCAGTGTTAGTATGAAGTGCTTCAGCTAATCGATTCTTGTCGAAGCTATTGAAGATCTTAATGCATGGGAAAGTGTTTGTGTTTTTATGCTGTCTGGTCAAACGTTATGCCTGTATATGTTTCCCAAAATATCTCCATAATAATATCTAGCTCTTTACACAGCATAGCTAATATACGAACAATTACGTTTCGATGAAAGCAAACTGATTTGGATTTTTTTCCTGTTCCTTTTCTGCATAGAGTTTTCTCCAGTGTTATTTATATACTATTATATTTTATATATTGTTTTACTATTAATTTTTCATATATATATATATATATATATATCGTTTTTTTAAGTGCTTTTGTAATTTATTTTTTTAAATATGTATATTAAAAATATTACTGTTTAATTCTTTAATTTTGCAAATGTAAATTGAATTTTTTTTTAAAGATTTTTTTATTTAATTTATTTATGGACTTTATTTTTTAAATTTAAAATTTAGTTTTTATTTATTTCCAGTTAATAATTTTAATGCTTCTGGTGTTTATTGATATTTTAGAATTTATTTTTAAATTCTTTTTTAAAAATTTGGGCTTTTGTTTTTATATTTTCAGTTATGTTTAGTGTGTTTATTGTGCTTTTGTCATGATTATTTTTTAAATATTAATATTTATGTGTCATTTATTTTATGTTTTTGTTTTTTAATTTATTTTAATTTCAATTTTGGTTTTAATTAAATTCAATTTTGGTTTTTCCAGTTAGTAATTATATTGCTTTTAGTGTTTTTTTAAATATATATATATATATATATATATTAAATAATTTGTTTATTAAGGCTTTATTTTTATGTTTTCACTTTCCGTTTTTTTTTTTTTGTAATTTTGTGGATTTTTATTATTTTAAAATATTAATATTTCGGTTTCATTCATTTATTTTTATTTTTTTATTTTCTGTTTATTTCCAGTTAGTCATTTTAATGCTTCAACTTCAAACTAAATGAGAATTATAAACGTTGCCTAAATCAGTTGGATTGATTGGGTCTATGGGTAATTTAGTTCTTTATGAATTTAGCATGATTTTCATTTTTTTTCTCCACACTGCCTTGTGGCTTCGGCAGAAGCAAATATGAGCGCTTCAGTGCCGCTTCAATGCCAGCTTGTCACGTTATTTTCCTCCAAGCACTCTGGGAAGGTTCTCAGACAGCCAATGAATGTCCTGTGATTTCATGGTACTTTAGGCCTGAGGATTTGCGTCGTGAGTTTGGTCGTTACGGACCTATAGTAGATGTCTACGTTCCTGTTGACTTCAATTCACGGCGACCAAGAGGATTTGCATACGTACAATATCCTTTGTAGGCAAAAATGTTGAAAAGAGAGAACGTATTGTGAACTTTTAGAGGGATTGTTCCTCCAAAAATTCTGACAGATCCTTTTGTGGAAGCCAAAAAGAGATACTGAGCCGAATGTCCAAGCTGCTCTTTTCCAGATAATGGAAGTGAATGGGGACTGGAGCTGCTGAACGCCATTAGAGTTCCTCCTAGGGGTGTGCGATATTGACAAATTATATCTCGATATTTTCTGGGATTTTATCGATAACGATAATTAGACGATATTTTGCTGAGTGTGTTATTGTGCTGGTACCTTAAGGACTGCCGCAGACAGCTGACTCCTAATGTTTTTAATATTCTTCATATTCTGTGTGCTGGTCAGTTCATACTGATAGAAATTAATCTTTTCAATAAGTTTAAACTGATTTTTACATTTTATGGGCATTTTTACCTTTTATAAAGCCATTTTTTCTAAAAGTGTCCATTTATCTTTTGAGTCAAATTCTTACATTTAATCAGGGAATTAGAATAATAAGACATTCGGGCTGTTACCGAGCAAATTAAATCAACACAGAAGCTGCATCTGAAGTGGCATTTAGATGTGTTTACACACTGTTTAATGCAAGACATGAATGCATTTAACCTGCAATTACAAATGCATAAATAATGTTTTGATATATTAAACATAAAACGTTGAATACTGATATTTGAAATGATTTAAAACATGAAAAAAGCCGAATTGTGAAATTAAAGCCGCCAGCAGGTGGCAGCAAAGCACTGTTAATAAGCGAGTCATTGTGATTGAAGCGAATCATTTAAACGAGTGATTCATTCAAGAACGAAACACCGTCATGTTGCTCAGAGACACAAAACAGAGCTGTGGCTGTATTCGGGATGATTTTTGTTGGCGAAATAAAGCAAAAACAAGCAATATGGTGTCTAAAACGTAAGTCTCTTAATTAACTTATTGTTTATTGAATTCAATATCACATTTGTAATCATTGTAATTTTTGGAGAAAAACGGCACTCTTCGTGTGAAATCGAATAACTATATGAAGTGGTATAAATATCTAAAAGTTCTGCCATGTCTTGAATTTGTGATCATTCTAAATGCATTTTAATAGCCTGAATCATGCAGTGAAAGAACACACACTAAATGCGCACGCGCACTAGTCTAGACTTCACGTAATGTATGCGTGCGCTCTGTAGAGATGTTTTGAATGATTTTTGCAAAATACTCGATAATGTCAAATCGCACATCGTTAAAACAACAATTACGATATTATCGCACACCCCTAGTTCCTCCATGTGACTAGTTCACTATATTCCAATGCATTTCCTTCAGAAGACGTGGAATATGGCATAAAAGTCACAAACTCGTTTTTTTTATGGTGTTTTAGTCATTTTTCAGAGCTGTGCGGCTCCAGTCTCCATTCACTTCCATTGATTGTGATTGTTGGGTGTAAAGTCTCTTTAAAGCTTGATTGGCCGTTTGTCTCCTAACCTTATATTTCCTCTGTTGTTGTCTCAGAAAATGTAAAGACACACAGTTCTGGAGACCTTCCCTACAAAGAGTATTTAGAAGGGCCGATGTAGAGTAGATTCAAGACAAAGACAATAAAGAGAGAGTTAAAGCTTGAAGATTCAAAGGGGACCAAAATTGGAGTCAAGGCCTCGTTCTGACCAAAGAAAGAGGAAAAGACTAAAGGTTATTGGGCACAGACATCCCCAAGTCCTTCTCGGAGGCCGTTAAAGACAATAAAGGTCAAGCTGAAGGTCAGAGGTCAAGCATGTTAAAGGTAACCCGGTTTAATGCTGTATCCTACCATTACAGAGCACATGATTTCTGAGCTCCTGTCCTCTTCAGCTTTATGGGTTTTTCTTGAACTACAGGAGCTTTCTGAACTCAATCAGCACTTTCTCTCTACTTCATTTGCAACTTGGTGTAATTAGGTTCTTTTTCATTTCAATTATAGTTTTCAGTTTGTCCAGTTAGTAATTTTAGTGCTTCTAGTTATTCATATTTAATCATTTGTTTATTAAGTTTTTTTTTACATTTTCAGTTTTTTTTTTTTTTTGTAATTTAGCTGTGCTTGTCATTTTTATTATTTTTTTCTAAATAATAATAATAAATAGATTTTTTTAAATTAAAATATTTGTTTCATTTCGTTTTTCAGTTTGTTTTTATAAATTTCTAGTTAGTAATTTTAGTGTTTATTAATATTTTGCCATTTTTAGTAATTGTGTTGTGCTTTTGTCATTTTTATTATTTTTTTAAAATCTATTTTAGTTTTATTTCAGTGTTCATTTTTATTTTATTTTATTAATTTTAGTGTTTCTAGTGTTTATTAATATTTTGTCATTTTTAGTAATTGTGTTGTGCTTTTGTCATTTTTATTATTTTTTTAAAATCTATTTTAGTTTTATTTCAGTGTTCATTTTTATTTTATTTTATTAATTTTAGTGTTTCTAGTGTTTATTAATATTTTATAAATTATTTAATAATTTATTAAGCTTTTATTTGTATATTTTTTAGTAATTTAGTTGTGCTTTTGTATTATTATTTTTTGAAATATTAATAATTAAAAAATATTTACATTTTAAAAAATGTATGTATTATAATATATGCTTTATCATTCTTTTTTAGCTTTATTTATATTAGCATTAATTTTATTATATACATTTTTGTGCTTCTAGTGTTTATTAATATATTATAAATTATTAATAATAATTAGCTTTTTAAGCTTTTATTTTCTGTATGTCTATTAAACACACAAAACAAATAGTTATGAATAAATTACTACACACAATTAAATAATATTTTCACTTTTTTTTTTTTTTTTGCATCATTGGATTGAAAATAACACCATAGAAATAGTTAGTTTTTTTTTTCTTCACACGAAAGTGCCTGGAGTTGAAGAAACACTCTTAAATACACTTGGGACATTTTGAGAGTAATTTCATCAAACACCTTCCCCTGTAGCCGTTCATCACGGTTAATTCAGATGATTATTTGTCTTGTTTTGCTTTATAATCCGTCATGCTTTTGCTGAATATTAAGATGGTGAGTTCAGTTTCTGTCATATGCATGTTCATCTGTGTGTAAAAATGCAAAGCCTTAACCGCATGGGCATGTTCGAGGACGTTCGTGACGCGGAGGACGCGCTGCATAACCTGGACAGGAAGTGGATCTGTGGACGGCAGATCGAGATCCAGTTCGCTCAAGGAGACCGGAAGAGTATGATGCTTGCTCTCTACATGCCCAAAATTCATAGAAAGTTTTTGATCTGCAAAAAGTGAATTCTCCCGTTTAAATATTTCAATTAATATATTTTTTAAATATATTATTTTCATATTTAATAAATTGTTTTTAAATATCATATAAAAAAACCGAATGAATTATTATTTAATTGCATGCATTTGTTTTGTTGTTTGTGTTGTCACGTGCAGCTCCGGGTCAGATGAAATCCAAAGAGAAGCGCTCTCCTCGCAGCGACTCGCGGTACGATGACTCTGAGCGGGACGGCCGGCGCAGACGCAGCTACAGCAGAAGCAGATCTCGCAGTCCTTCATACGAACGCCGCGCGCGCAGATCAGCAAGCCCCAGACAGTGAGGACTAACATACAGACAGAAAAAGTTGATTAGATACTTTTTTCAAACAACAACACTATTAAACTTTTTTTTTTTACTTATTTTATTTTGTTATTGGACAAACGAATTTATTATAATATATATAATAATAATTATTATAATAAAGACAATCACTATCAGTTCTTATTTTACTGCACATTTGCATGTTCTTTAACATATCCATAAACCACCGCGGTTCCAGTTAAAAAGGCTTTTCAGAATATTTTTTCCATTAAAAAAAAAAAAAAAAAAAAAAAAAAAAAAATTTTAAAAATTTTTTAAGATATTGTGAAAAATTTTTTCCATTAAAAAAAAAAAAAAAAAAAAACGTTTAAAGATTTTTTTACAATTATTTTTTTCCACAAAAAATTATAAATGAAGCTTAACTTTTTATTTTAAACTTCATTTTTTATTAGACTGCACAAACTAATTTAGTGTATATATAATAATTACAATAAAAAATATATATAAATATAATGTGTGTATATATTTACACTGCTGTTCAAAAGTTTGGGATCAGTAAGATTTGTAATGTTTTTTAAAGAAGTCTCTTCTGCTCACCAAGCCTGCATTTATTTGATCAGAAATACAGAAAAAAACTGTAATATTGTGAAATATTATTGCAATTTAAAATAATGGTTTCTATTTTAATATACTTTAAACTGTAATGTATTTCTGTGATGCGCAGCTGTATTTTCAGCATCATTACTCCAGTCTTCAGTGTCACATGATCTTCAGAAATCAGTATAATATGCTACTTTATTACAGTTTTGCTGCTTCATATTTTTTTGGAACCCGTGATACTTTTTTCAAGATTCTTTGATGAATAAAAAGTTAAAAAGAATAACATTTATTCAAAATAGAAATCTTTTGTACCACGACCGTTCAAAAGTTTGGGGTCAGTCATTTTAATTTTTTTAAAGAAATTAATGCTTTTATTCAGCAAGGATGTGTTAAATTGATCAAAAGTGATGATAAAGACTTACATTGTTAGAAAAGATTTCTATTTTAAATAAATGCTGTTCTTTATAACTTTCATTAAAGAATCATGAAATGAGTATCACAGCTTCCAAAACAATATTCCGCAGCACAACAGTTTCCAGCACTGATAATAATCAGCATATTATACTGATTTCTGAAGATCATGTGACACTGAAGACTGGAGGAATGATGCTGGAAATACAGCTTTGACCACAGAATATATATATATACAGTGGGTACGGAAAGTATTCAGACCCCCTTAAATTTTTCACTCTTTGTTATATTGCAGCCATTTGCTAAAATCATTTAAATTAATTTTTTTGTATACACATTGCTTAAACTCATCAGGATAAAAAGTGTGCTGACACATTTGACCCAGCATTCAGTTTAAAGCAGTGTTTGTTTGACGTTGATGTGTTTGAACAGCTCTCGGGCGCGCGACAGACAGCGGAGGAGCAGAAGTCGTGAGAAGCACAGGTGAAGCTCCGTGCATCCCCAACAAGAGGCTGCCAGTGTCTCTTTTTAAAGGTTTATTGCACCCAAAGATTACGATTCATGGTGCTAAAACAATAATGCATGAATGGATGATTTTCCTCGGTGGAAACGGACAGTAAATCCGTAAATATTATTTTTTATTTAAAAAAAAAAACCACACTAGCGTTTCTATTTTTTCTATTCTATCTACTTGTTTTTCTGTGTATGTGTGTGTGTGTGGTGTGTGGTGTGTGGTGTGTGTGTGTGTGTGTGTGTGTGTGTGTGTGGTGTGTGGTGTGTGTAATATACAGTGTTGGGGAAAGTTACTCTTAAAAGTAATGCATTACAATATTGCGTTACTCCCTAAAAAAGTAACTAATTACGGTACTTAGTTATTTTTTTTATGAAAAGTAATGCATTACGTTATTTTGCGTTACTTTTTAAATCTGGACAGGGCTTGCTTGTTTGGTTTAATATAAAAAGTTTGCATTTTTGGCAAATATAAAAGCCTTTTCACACCAAAAGCTAAATGAATAAGCCTCAGACTGAAGGAAATCTAAATTCACGGTCTAAAGTAGAACGCAGAAAAAGAATGTTCAACACACTTCAGCAATAAAAAAAGAAGCACAAATGTTCGTCTAGAGTAATTTTGGCTTAGTACGGTTGTATTGGATCATTGAAGCAGCAAAGACATTGGTTAATAGAATGGGATTAAATACATAAAGGATATTTGTGTTGTTTAACATTTAATTATTGCAGGTTTGCGTCATATTCTGAGTTGCATTTCACTGTTTTTAGTTATTTTGAGGAATACTGAGGCGAGAGAGATGAATTAATGCATATTCATATTTATTTTAGAACTACAGTAACATCTGATTTCTCTCAACATGGGGACAGGAGAGCTGTCAGTCAATAAATTGGGAAAATTTATTGGACTTATTTGAAAAAGTAACTCTTGTAAATGAAAAAGTAATGCGTTACTTGTTACTTGAAAAAGTAATCTGATTACATAACTCACGTTACGTGTAATGCATTACCCCCAACACTGATTATATATATATATATATATATATATATATGAGCCTGCAGCACAAAAGCAGTGTTAAGTCGCTGGGGGATATTTGTAGCAATAGCAAAAAATACTTTACTAGTTACTTGAAAAAGTAATCTGATTACATAACTCACGTTACTTGTAATGCATTACCCCCAACACTGATTATATATATATATATATGAGCCTGCAGCACAAAAGCAGTGTTAAGTCGCTGGGGTATATTTGTAGCAACAGCCAACAATACATTGTATGGGTCACAATTATAGATTTTTCTTTTATGCCAAAAATCATTAGGATATTAAGATCATGTTCCATGGAGATATTTTGTAAACTTCCTACCGTAAATATATCAAAACGTAATTTTTGATTAGTAATATGCATTGCTAAGAACTTAATTTGGACAACTTTAAAGATGATTTTCTCAATATTTAGATTTTTTTGCACGCTCAGATTCCAGATTTTCAAATAGTTGTATCTCAGCCAAATATCATCATATCCTAACAAACCATACATCAATGGAAAGCTTATTTATTCAGATGAGAAAAATGACCCTTATGACTGGTTTTGTGCTCCAGAGTCTGTGTGTGTGTGTACTGTGTTAGTCTAATCGAGACTTGTCATTTGCACGTACATATTATTGCTCTTTTGTTAGTTTTGATTGCTTCTATTGTCTTCATTTGTAAGTCGCTTTGGATAAAAGCATCTGCTAAACGACTAAATGTAAATCAGGTGTTTTCTGCACAGACACAGGTCACGTGAGCACGACCGCAGACGCCACCGATCAGCCTCGCGCTCTCCGTCCCGTGACTCCAAATACAAGGCCAAGAGCCGGCGGTCTGGCTCCCGGTCCAGCTCGGCCAGTCCGCCCGCGGAAGAGCTGCATGCGTCGGCCGGACCCCGCTCCCGCTCGCGCTCCAGATCCTGGGCCGGACGCAAGTCTGGAGGCTCTTAAAGCCTGTGCAGCTTTTCATCGAATCTGTGTTTAATCATGACCACTTGCTCTCGTTCTTACTGAAATGATGCTTGAAAGTTGTCAGAGGCAGTTCATTCTTTTGTAAGAAACGTGCTTTGATGCCAGTATGAAGATGGCTTTATTTTTATAGTCACAGACGAGCAGAAACCCAGCTGTTTGTGTAGAAAGATGCATGCAGAAACTGAATAATGGGAGAAAACAGTTGATTTAAAGATTTGTTTGCTCGGAAAAGTCGCAGTGTTAAGTTTTTCTTCAAAAGTTATACTGTATTAGAAACTCAATTTGTATTAAGTCTTGCATCTGTTTATATTAAAGACGTAGTATTTTTGTCATCGCAAAATAAACATGATTTAAACGTATTGCATTTCCACAGCGTGAAGTCGAGGTCCTATGGATTTATGAATGAACAGATTTACAATCTGCTTTAAACCGTACAGTACACAGGATACATTTCATTGACTTACACTACAGGAAGAAAATCCACTTCAGCAGCTCAAAGGCTTATGTGCATCAGCTTATGTAATATTTAAATGACCTTTTTGGTTCAGAACATTAAAATAAACTATTTCTACTGTATTGATTCATCCGAATCTATTTAAACATTTACTAAAAATCAAAAGTTGGATGTCATAAATGCACTAAACTAAAATTACTAGTTGTATTTGCAACATTAACAAAGGTTTATGCGTTAATGTTACCAAGACCTTGTTGCAAGGTATAACTTTTACTGTATTTCAATTGGAAAGGAATTTGTTATTAGATATTTTAAAGGTAATTTTAGGCTGAAGTCAGCTGGTGGCTTCATTGGAATTGATTGAATGAAGCCACCAGCTGTTTCTGCAGATGTTCTCTGCCACTAGTGACAAATGACACCAGATTTAATGAAAAGAAGTGACGGTTTCTTTGCACAGATGACAAAACATCCCCATCATAAACCATCATCTGTTTCACTCCATCACATCAGGACTGGGGCGGTATAGACCACTAGCTTTCAAAGCAGTATTTTAATGTGCAATAAATCTTTCAAACAGCAGTAAACTATATTGAGCATGTTGCAGGTTTAATTTCACAAATAGCATTCGATTATTATCTTTGCAAAGTAGCTGTGTATGGCCGAGTTAATCCAGTTTTGCATAAAAATATCTGAATGCTTGGTGGTCGTCAAATAATGAATCCGTTTCTACTAGTATTTCATTCTTCACACTATAAATGTATAAGATGTATGAATATAAAATGTATAAATGAGGCCGTTTTTCCATGCAAAATTTAACATTTAAAAAATATATATATAATTTAGTTTATAAGTATATTTTTGGCCATGTTTGAAAAGGCAAAGTAGAAAACTATTTTTAAAATATTCTTTGAAAAATTAAAATAAAAAAATAGTATTAAAATTAGAAGCCTCTTATGACATTCAATACACTGTTACACAAATGTATATAGAACAAATTAAACATTGTAACTATATTAGTTAACCTGAACAATACTTGTACAGAATTTACTACATGATAAAAAAAATTGCATCTGCAAACATTAATGCACTCTGAACTAACATTCACAAAGGTTAATGCTGTAAAAATATGTTCATTGTTAATGCATTAACTAATGTTTTGTAAAGTGTTACTGAAGTACTCAAGAAGCAGGACAACACTAGTTTGCATCCAAGTTTATTTTTGAAATTCCCTACTCCCTCTATACAAGAAAAAATGACTTTCCACAAAGGCAGCAGTGAACGCTCAGTGATAGTAATATTTATGTTTAGGGCAGGGGGGAAAGTTCAGAACATTAAAATAAACCATTTCTACTGTATTGATTCAGCCGAATCTATTTAAACATTTACTAAAAATCAAAAGTTGGATGTGTCATAAATGCACTAAACTAAAATTACTAGTTGTATTTGCAACATTAACAAAGGTTTATGCGTTAATGTTACCAAGACCTTGTTGCAAGGTATAACTTTTACTGTATTTCAATTGGAAAGGAATTTGTTACTAGATATTTTAAAGGTAATTTTAGGCTGAAGTCAGCTGGTGGCTTCATTGGAATTGATTGAATGAAGCCACCAGCTGTTTCTGCAGATGTTTTCTGCCACTAGTGACAAATGACACCAGATTTAATGAAAAGAAGTGACGGTTTCTTTGCACAGATGACAAAACATCCCCATCATAAACCATCATCTGTTTCACTCCATCACATCAGGACTGGGGCGGTATAGACCACTAGCTTTCAAAGCAGTATTTTAATGTGCAACAAATCTTTCAAACAGCAGTAAACTATATTGAGCATGTTGCAGGTTTAATTTCACAAATAGCATTCGATTATTATCTTTGCAAAGTAGCTGTGTATGGCCGAGTTAATCCAGTTTTGCATAAAAATATCTGAATGCTTGGTGGTCGTCAAATAATGAATCCTTTTCTACTAGTATTTCATTCTTCACACTAAAAATGTATAAGATGTATCAATATAAAATTTATAAATGAGGCTGTTTTTCCATGCAAAATGTAACATTTTAAAAATATATATATAATTTAGTTTATAAGTATATTTTTGGCCATGTTTGAAAAGGCAAAGTAGAAAACTATTTTCAAAATATTCTTTGAAAAATTTAAATTTTAAAATAAAAAAATAGTATTAAAATTAGAAGCCTCTTATGACATTCAATACACTGTTACACAAATGTATATAGAACAAATTAAACATTGTAACTATATTAGTTAACCTGAACAATACTTGTACAGAATTTACTACAACATGATAAAAAAAATTGCATCTGCAAACATTAATGCACTCTGAACTAACATTCACAAAGGTTAATGCTGTAAAAATATGTTCATTGTTAATGCATTAACTAATGTCAACAAATGAGCCTTTTGTAAAGTGTTACTGAAGTACTCAAGAAGCAGGACAACACTAGTTTGCATCCAAGTTTATTTTTGAAATTCCCTACTCCCTCTATACAAGAAAAAATGACTTTCCACAAAGGCAGCAGTGAACGCTCAGTGTCATGGCTTAATGAATTTAAGACTTTCAGCTCTGATTTAAGAATTTGTGGAAGGGCAAATTAAGAATTTTTAAGACCTGCAGAAAACCTGTAAGATTTTATGCTCATCTTGGCCCAAAATTTGCATAAAAATAGATGGATGGAAACATTTGAAGTCTTACAAGAAATAATAAACATAAGCTTTGAGTTGTGACTAACTGGAATTTTGAAAAAATTAAACAATGTCTTAATTGTCACAAATGGAATAAAGATTCTAAACTGTGACGAGTTCAGAATGATTTGAATATAAGATCTTATGAAAAAGGGCATCTTGAGATCCAATAATGTACCTGACTCATCATTGAAAGAGGTGAAACTGATGAGCATCTGGACATTAACTTCTCCACAGCCGTTGACCAGCAGTCTGAAGTCCTCAGCCGTCAAGTCCTCCAGAGCGTTCTTTGGAAGCACATCCAGAAGACCCTTCCGCATGGCCTGCAAAACAACATCTTCACTTACATTTCTGCATTTTACTCTATTTTTGGCATGCGTTTGATTCTCAGGGAATGCATGCATTGAAAAAATCTTCAGCTTGAATGCAATGGAAGTCGCGTTGGATAAAAGCATCTGCCAGATGCATAAATGTGACCCTGGAGCACAAAAGCAGTCTTAAGTCGCTGGGGTATATTTGTAGCAATAGCCAACAATACATTGTATGGGTCAAAATTATCGATTTTTATTGTGTCAAAAATCATTCGGATTTAAAGTAAAGATCATGTTCCATGAAGATATTTTGTACATTTCCTACCATAAATATATCAAAACTTAATTTTTGATTAGTAATATGCATTGCTAAGAACTTGATTTGGACAACTTTAAAGGCAATTTTCTCAATATTTAGATTTTTTTTGCACCCTCAGATTCCAGATTTTCAAATAGTTGCATCTCGGCCGAATATTGTCCCATCCTAACAAACCACACATCAATGGAAAGCTTATTTATTCAGCTTTCAGATGATGTATAAATCTTCATTTCGAAAAAATTTACCCTTATGACTGGTTTTGTGCTCCAGGGTCACAAATGTAAATGTGCATGCTGTAAAATAAGGTCCAGAATAAGCTATAACAGTCCAGATAGTCAAAGTCTAGCTCTCCGAGACGTTAAGAAGTATAAGTGAAGTGCACTCACATGCAGAGGCTGTTCTGCCACCACCAGCATCCGGTGCTCCGCGTATCTCCTCACGTACTCGTACACGTTCAGAGGCGTCACGGGCATGTTGACCCCGCCAGCCAGGAGCTCCACCTGCAGATGCAGCAGGAAACCTTCAGTCATGTGCACAGACGGAGCTCTAATGCCAACGCAAAGGGAGAACGCAGCCGTTACCTGTCCAGAGCCTTCCTCCTTGCAGAGGTCAGGCGTCACGGGCATGTTGACCCCACCAGCCAGGAGCTCCACCTGCAGATGCAGCAGGAAAGCTTCAGTCATGCGCACAGACGGAGCTCTAATGCCAACGCAAAGGGAGAACGCAGCCGTTACCTGTCCAGAGCCTTCCTCCTTGCAGAGGTCGATAGCGAAGGCGAGGTCCATCGCCGCAAACACAGCCTCCGCCTCCTCGGTTTGAGAGTGACGAATCAGCTGTCGCAAGCTCTCGTACATCACCGGGTCGAAGAACGCGAAGTCGTGCCAGTTGACCTGCAGCACAAGAGAACACAAGCCTCAGCATTACTTCCCTACAATTTATGTGATACGGAAAACACAGAATCCAGTCATGAAGATTACATTTACAGTAAAAAAAAAAATTAAGGAATTTTAAAAGGAAAAAAAAAGTAACTTAAATTTTTATTTTTGATTACGTTTTAATTTTAAATTAATTAAAATGTCATTTAATTACAACCATTTTTGATTGTTCTGAATTTATAATTGAATACAAACCTATTAAACCAGAAAACAACCATAAAACATTTCAAAGTTTTATGAACAACTGATTAGACATGTTTTTTTGATTATTAATTTAATTATACCATTAAAACAGAATACAAAAATTAAAATAGAAGAACAGAATTTGGAAAAAATAAAACTAATTTCATAGGGCACTAAAAAGGTCATTTTTGTTAAACTTTGAATAAACTGATGTTAATTTGCATTTTAAAAAATAACCTTTATAGGGCCCTGTGAAATGTTTTATTTTTCCCAAATGGTTTTTTCCCACCTTCTGTGCTTTCCATTTTAATGGTTTAATTAAATATTAGTAATCAAAAAGAATGTCTAATTGAAATCATGAAACTTAAAACTTAAACTGTTGTAAGTTTCATGATTTCAATTAATCAGACATGCCTTTCTACAATTAATTTTATTAAAACGGCATCCAGAAAAATTAAAACAGGGAACAGAGTTTTAAAACCGATTTCACAGGGCCCTAAAAAGGTCTTTTATTTTTACTTTTAATAAATTGATGTTAAATTGAATAACAAAAATTACTATTTCTGGGCCCTGTGAATTTTTTTTTCCCCCCCTAAGTTTTGTTTTATTTTTTCCAAATTCTGCATTTTCCATTTTAATGGTTTAATAAAAAATTCGGGGGGGAAAAACCTTAAAATAAATAAAGACTTCATAGGGCCATAAAAGGTCATTTTTGTTCAACTTTTAATAAACCATTGTTAAATTGCATAACAAAAATGACCTTATTGGAGCCCTGTGAAATCATTTTTTCCCCCCTTAATTTGACTTATTTTTTCCAAATTCCATTTTCCATTTTAATGGTTTAATTAAATTTCAGTAATCAAAAAGCATGTGTAACTAATTGAAATCATGAAACTTACACAATTTAACAACTTCAAATTCAAAGTTTCACGAGTTCAATTAATTAGACATGCTCTTCCTAAAATTTAATTCAACCATTAAAACAGAATCCAGAAAAATTAAAATAGAATTTGGGGAAAAAAATAAAATAAATTTTATAGGGCCCAACCTCAGTGTTTGGAGGATAATCCTGTCACTATTACAAAAGGTATTAACATTGAGATATTCACCTTCCTGCCGAGCAACACCTTGATGACGTGTCTATTGAGGGTGATGGGGCAAAGTTCATTCTGTAACAGACATAAGCCAAGTATCCTGCAGGCAGAAGATCAGGGTCATTAGTTAGAAGTTCATCCGGTGGTTCAGTCTCACTCAGATGAACGCGTCGTCTCTCGTACCTGCCGATGTTTCGGAAGCAGTTGAGCCTGGCCTCTGTGTTCTTGCCTGGACGGGGCGAGTAGAAGCCCCTCTTGCCGGGTTGGTAAAACAGAGGAGCGTTATCGTCCCCGTCATCAGGATCGTCCAGCTCCATGTCAACCACACTGCGGGTCGAACCGTGCCTCTTTCGGTTCTCCTGCTGGTTGAACATGAAAATTACCATTAGATCACACACATGTAACATCAGACCATAGAGATCAACAGCGCAGAATCATAAGCTGAACCTAACCTGATGCAAAGGAGCAGAGAAGAGTCTTTGGGGTTTTAGATGCCACATACCTGTGCTTTCTCAGGAGTGTCAAGGAGGCCGAGGTCCAGTATACTGTCAGCGCCATTTTCCCTGTGCAAGAGAGAGAAGCTCATAAAATACTCCACTATCAGCAAAAGAGCCTGTGCGCATTTCACAAAAATATCCAGGTCACCATCAAATCAAATGCTAAACAATGAATAAATACATGCTATAATAAAAACTACATTGACCATTTTATTATTATTATTAAAAAATGTAATTAATTAAATGTATAAAATTATTTAAAATATACATTTAATAATTATTTTAATTATACGGTTTAATAATTGTTACATTTAATATTAAATGCATATTAAATACTATAAATCATAGTAAATAATTAGGTTCATAATTTATTTTTATGATATTATAGTATATATTTAATAATATAGTACTTAATTAATTTTTAACATTTAATAGCATTTAATTGTGATTTTTAATTACATTTAATTATAAAATATTACAATGGTAAATATTTACATGATTAACTACTATAATTACATATGTAATTAATAATGAATTATTAAATATCAAATACTATAAATCACAGTAAATAATTATTCATAATTTATTTGTATGATATTATAGTATATATTCAATAATATTATAGTATTTAATCATTTAAAAATGTAATGCATTTCATAGCATTTAATAATTATGTGATTTTAATTATACCATTTAATAATGATAAAATATTACAATTTTAAATTGTAGTAATTAATGTAAATATTTACCATACTACAATTACATAAAAATGTAATTAATATTTAATTATTAAATATATATTAAATACTATAAATCACAGTAAATAATTAGGTTAATAATTTATGTAATTTCTTTATGATATTATAGTATATATTTCATAATATTATAGTATTTAATAATGTAAAAATTTAACATTTAATTATGTGATTTTAATTATACTATGTAATAATTATAAAATATTAAAATGGTAAATATTTACATTAACTACTATAATTACATAAAACTTTAAATTACATAAAACTTTAAACTACATATGTAATTAATATTTAATTATAAATATATATATATTTTTTTTTTATTTATTTATTTTTTTATAGATGCTGTAAAAAACAGAAGGAATTATTTTTCTATGTGATTTTTGGGTGAAATATGACCGGCACATGTTCTTGACAGGTGTGGCGAGATGATTCACCTTCCGTGAGTTATGAGGAGCTCCATGGCCTCCTCCACACGGGCTCTGAGCGAGTCCTCACTGGCCAGGAGCAGCAGCAGCTGAGCGGGAGAGAGCTCCAGCAGCATCCCTGTGATTTTACTGGCAAAAGCCTGTAGAGAAAAGCAGACGTCACACACTAAATCAACTTCAAATCAAGCCATGTGTTCATGAATACTGATGGCTGCGCTGGTCTGTACCGGCTGCATGGCGTGCACTCGTGGGTACAGTCTCTCTCCTAGAGCTTGTCTGTGAGCTGGCAGCGGCTCCGGTTCATCGCTGGGGTTCCCTTCTGATGCAGGTCTGAACGGCCGTGTGTCGATCGACAGCTGTCTCCTCGAGTCCCTACAAAAAAATGTGTGGTATGACAAAAGTAAGGCTTCATTCATTATTACATATAAATACAATCACTCATTTTAAATAATGGCATTATATATATATATAAAATCATAATAAATAATTTTAAATCATGGTCTTTTTTAAAAACTTCCAACAAATATTGCTGAAATGTATTTTGCCAGAAAATACATGAATATATCATGAAAGATGATCTTTAGTTTTAAATAATTGTAAACAATGGTATATATTCAAAAAAAGTCACCTATCACGGTCTCGTCTGGATGCAGCTCTCAGTCCTCCGCTCCTCCTCTCACGCTCACGGTCTCGGTTCCTCAGCCGCTGCATAAGATCTGCAAACACAGACAACATGAACATCACTTTCAGACAAAAATGATCCTGGAAAATATATATTTTTTAAAACAATTTAGGAAATTTTAAAAAAAGGTACTGAAAATGAAAAACATCAAATTATGCTTTAAAAAATACCTCCAATAAAAATGTGACCCTGGAGCACAAAACCTTAAAGGTGTCCTATTATGATTTTTCACTTTTTCAACTTTAGTTAGTCTGTAATGTTGCTGTTTGAGCATTAAAAAGATCTGCAAAGTTACAAAGCTCAAAGTCCACTTCAAAAGGAGATATTTTATTTAACATAAATCACTTTTCAAAAACTACAATGAACGACTCGTTTGGACTACAACGCATATTTTCCGGAATTTGTGATGTCACAAAGATGGACGAATGGGACGAGACCTGGTTGAGCTGCACTAGAGAAGGCAACGAGTGTTATCATCACTATGTCGGAGACACGCTAGCTTTCCCAAAGCAGACGAACTTATAGTGGTTACAATCAGCCGGGGTTAAATCGTGCTCAAATTTATTTGATTTTGACTCAATATTTACACTGAAGCTCGCAGGCGGCTATGGTAAGGGGCATGACATTTCCCGACCAGGCGGCGAGGGCTGCCAATCACAACACACACTGGCCCAGCTAACCAATCACAGCACATTTCGTATTTCAGAAGGCGGGCCTTCATTTGTTACAGGAACTATTCGAGCCGTTCATGCCAGACTGAGGAGAGAGGTGTTGTAATAATGTAAAATATGTGAAAATAATGTTTTTCGAACAACCTTGTATGAGAGCCTGTGCTAGTACATCCCCAAAACAAAATCAAGACTTTGTAAAAGAGCATAATAGGACTGCTTTAAGTCGCTGGGGTATATTTGTAGCAATAGCCAATAATATATTATATGGGTCAAAATGATTGATTTTTCTTTTATGCCAAAAATCATTAGGATATTAAATAAAGATCATGTTCCATGAAGATAATTAGTAAATTTCCTACCGTAAATATATCAAAACGTAATTTATGATTAGTAATATGCATTTCTAAGAACTTCATTTGGTCAACATTAAATGCGATTTTCTCAATACATTCTCAGATTCCAGATTTTCAAATAGTTGTATCTCGGCCAAATATTGTCCTATCCTAACAAACCATACATCAATGGAACTTATTTATTCAGATGGTGAATAAATCGCAATTTCAAAAAACTGACCCTTAAGACTGGTTTTGTGGTCACATATGGCAATAAGGGCTTAAAAAAAGGATCCATAGGATACATACTGCTAGCCTGCATTCCCTTGCTAACACTCTGTACACAGTCCAGATTGGGCAGCTTGTCATTGGAGAGGAAGGCCTGTGCGATAGCCGTGTAAAAGCTCCGGGCCACTCCGCTGCCCTCTCCAGGTTCATCCTTGAAAGTCACTTTCACGCGGTGCACCGCCATAGGTGTAGTGGTGCAGCGGCGGCCGAAGTGAGCGTTGATCTGGCGCATGGTCTGCTGGATGAGCTGCTCTCGGTCGCGGTCCACCTCCAGGGCCAGATCACGTGACTGCAGGTTCCTCAGCTTCTCCATCTCACGCCGGAACTTGGACTCCTTCACCTCGAAACCTCCCAGTTCAGTCAGGATCTGCAACGTTCAGAGTAGAGGTTTATCACTGAAAATAAAATGCTTACTCTCAAAACAAAGCGCAGAAATGAGCTGTACTCACAGATCCCGGTTCTGCTCCCACGTCCTCCATGAAGACTCGGCCGAACAGCTCCAGAGAAAGCCGCCAGCGGCCCAGCAGCATGTCGTGAGAGATCACCATCCCCATAAAGCTGCAGTGTGGACTGGAGGAAACGAACGAGAAACGTCACTAACGGAGTCACTCACTGAGTCCCTTACTGAATCCATGAATGTGCTGACTTACATAAATGTGGGAAGCGGCGGGCCGTCACTCTCTGTCAAACCTATCTCTGCGAGCAGGCTGCTCTTTAACTGGGCCGCCAGATCGTGAGGCGAAGGGCCTGGTTTGGATGCATCCATATCCTCCGCAGCCGGCTGCTCCTCGCCACCCCTCTGCCGAGACTCCATACTCATCACGTTCTTCATGTTCGCCGAATACGACATCTTTGTGGGTAGAATCTGGGATGAGAATTATCCGTAATAAAATATTGTAAAAATAGTTTTACTGCTCACTGTTGTTGAGAACTGCCCAAAGAAGCATTTCTGACTGCACTGAGAAACTAACATCAGTTTTGCCACAAAAGGTTTTTATATTATGTGTGTTTTATGTAATGTTTACATAGACTTATTTAAAATAAAAAAAATTAAAACAACAATGTAAATACTTTTATTTAAAATAAAACTACACATAAAACTAAATAAAAATAAAATACAAACAAAACAAAACGAAAATAAAACTAAAATTACATAAAACTAAAACAAAATAAAAAAAGAGGGAAAAAATAAATGTAATTAAAAGAATAAAAAAATAAAGATAAAAAAATGAACAAAACCACACACACATATACATATATATATACATATATATATATATATACATATATATATATATATATACATCTATCTATCTTGAGATGGCACAATGCAATTTAGCATTGGACATTTTAAAATGTACTTAAAATCACTTTTTTCTTTAAGTGAAAAATGCACCAATTTTCATTATTGTAAAAACAAAACAAAAAAAAAAACAAAAAAAACGGTGAGCCATGTATGTGAACCATGTTTACCTGCAAGCAATTCATGTCCACAGTCAGATCTGTGAGGCCTTTACTGGCCATGTACGAAGATGAATACAGACCCTGACTTGGTCTTCCAAACAAGTCCTCCTTTCTGGCATTGGGCTGTGAGATGAAGAGGAAGAACCGCAGTGTTAAAGACTCAGCCATCTGGAACGACATCACAGACCACCTCTAACGGAGGCCATGACAGCGCAGGTAAAGGGCATCTCTGACCTGCAGGAGATGCGGCTGGTCAGCCAGAGGAATGGCCTCAGCGAGGGGCACTTCGAAAGGGTTGGGAGGGATACATCCCAGGAAGGTCATGGAGTCCGAGCGGCGGAAAAACGGATGGTGCTGTCCGGTCTCAGCAGGGACCGACTCCTCGTCCTTGTCCTGCAGGGTGGAGCCTGTGGAGTCCAGAGTAACAAAGCAGTTTGATTGGACAGCAGGAAAGCAGCTCCGCAAACACCAGAGCCATGCTGCTATTTGAATCTGCGAGGTCCACTTTGGCTCGTGAGGTTTGTGCATAGCATTAATGGAAACAACACTTAAAGCATTCGTGCTGAACTCACTCTGATTGGTGTCCTCGTCGTTCTCGTGCTCAGAGTCCTCATTGTCCAGGCCGAGCTCCAGCAGCTCACGATTCCTGAAACAGGATAAGAAAAGTATTTAGAAATCTCACAGCAAACAATCAAACAGATCTGGGCAAAAAGTGTATGAAAAAAAGTATGGTTTTCAATTTTAGTTTAAGTAAAAATTTTAGTAAATTTGTTGTGTGCTTGTCATTTTTAGTTTTTTTTTAGAATTAGTTTAAATTAAACTAAATTTTCTTTTTATTATTTACTTTTTTTTTTAAAGTAAGGAAAATGGTTTTTTAATGTTTTATAACCTATAATAACCCTGCAATATCTTATATATTGATGACTTTGCCGGCAACAAACTTAATCAACAAGAAGAAATGGGCATTCATAAATCACCGTTTTAGTTGAAAAGTTGTGCAAACTTTCAGGAAGCAGCAATGCTAAAATATTTGTAAAAAAGTATAAGAAAATTGTTAGCTTTTCAGAAGTAAATTTCACTAGTTCAAGTTGACCATCGCAAACAATAGTTCACCATTTTAAACCAGTTCAAAGAAAGGAGAGAAAAAAAGCCTTAACTAAAGCCTTTCATTCATTGAATATTTATATTTAATTTTATTTCAACTATTTTAATGAAAAACTTGAATGAATAAAAAAAGTTGCCTTGGCAACTAACTGAAAAGCAGCAAGTTTAAGTACTAAAACTTCTAAAAATGAAATAAGAAACAGCAAATATTTTTTGAAAACAAATAAAAATGACAAAAGCCCAAAATTAAATAAATGTAAAATTAAAAGACCATTTAAAATATTTATAAATACTAAATATCTGTCACTGTCAAACATTAACAAAAAGATCTCTATAAGATATCATCATCCACACTAAACACTACTAAAGTCATGTTTTGAAGTGCTAATATGGGTCGTTTACCGCTTCCTGTCAATCTGAGTGGTGTCGAGTGTCGTCTGCAGATTCATGGCTTTAATCCAGTAGATGAGGGCCTGGAAGACGTACGCCACGTGTTTGAGCGAACACACGTCCAGCACAGGCAGAACGTCTGAATGCTCGTCGTTATGAGAACGCATTAGAGACAGAGCGTAGTTCAGGAAGTCTCCTCGAGCCGACATCATCCCCTGACGAGCCGTCAAAAGTGTAGCGGCGCGCCTGGAACACAGAGAATGACATTATAATACGACAATAGAGTGCTGCAGGAATGGTGTGTTTTTGTAGGACAAAACCTGGAAACGAGTTAGCATTTTAGCACGTCCAACTTCATCATATTGAAGTCAATGGGTTTTTTGAATGGGTGTTTGGTTAAATGCCTGAAATAACATCTGAAAACAAGCTCAAGATATTTCACATTTTATTCTACAATATAAAATACTCCACATATCAATAAACAAATTTAAAAAACACTAACATTTTAATAAATAAAGATTTAAAAAGTAAATTAATTAATTTAAAAAAAGACCAAAAATAAAAACTGAATTAAACAAACATAAAATGAAAAGAAAAAAATGCAAACCAAATAAAACTAAAATAAATATAAAACTAAAATCACAACTAAAAAAAAAAAACTAAAAAAGAAAAATTTAAAGTATAAAAAGAAAAAAATTTAATTAAATAAAACTAAATAAACAAATAAAATGCAAACTAAACAAAAAAGAAAACTGTCTGCGATTGTTAACAAGTGGCTAAATGGCACTACAGTGGTTGTCAGGGACATTAAATGTCACCATCACACCAAACAGATAAACTAGGGCTGTCAAAAAAAATTAATTCGAATATTCGTCGAATTTAAAATAAAAATCCACATTTTTAGGTGTGCATCAGACAGCCTTGCCTTATCAGTGGCGCACGAGATGACGATGCAGGTGTCACTGCATTATAATATTTTTGTCAGCCTATCCAGTTAAACCCACTAGATGCAGTGCTGCTGCGTTGTTCATTAAAAATAGTTGTGGAAAAAGAGATCTTGTTTACGTCCAAAAAAAAAGCTCTTTAAACAGAACGCATATTTCACTCATTTTCTAGAGGGACATCTATCAGCGTTGCACTCGCGTCTCGCACAGAAGAGCCGCGTACGCGTTTAGAAAGCCATGTAAAATTAATGCAAGTTCAACTTTGAAAAAACATATCTCGAGACTTTATGGCAGAGTTTTTTCCCATCCCACTGTATCTTGTGTTTTTAAATGAAAAAAGTACTCTTTGTATTAAACTATGCATACATACATGATGCTGTTTTGTTTATAGTCGTTTAAGCAACTTAATTATAATTGGTTTATAAACATTATTTTAAACATTATGCACCCTTTTCACCGATAGTCATGTTATCTTATGCTTTGAATAAACGTGCATTAGTAATATTTTGCTCGATGCGCCTTCTTGTGGCCTCAGGAGAGAAGCCAAAAGCTTTTCTTCACCCTAACTGAAATTATGCATTTTAAATTCTAATACAATTCGAATTTTGACAATATTTAAGTACAAAATTGTAATTTAGTTTTTCAGTCATTTTGACAGCCCTAAGATAAACTCATCTACTCACTAGATTTCACAGCTCGTTTATAATAAAAAGCTTGTTTTTATATTTTACTTCTGCTTCAAAATTCATAAAAGTTATTCATTTGTGAAGATTATCATGAACGAAACAAGTAAAAAAAATGATAAACTCGAGAGTTTATTTTCTGAAATAATCCACAAGCCACTGGAAAATTACTATTGGGTTTTTGTCGAGGGAACCACAAAAATGAGAAAATGAGAATTGTAATTTCATACAGACTTAAAGGGATAGTTCACCCAAAAAAAGAAAATTGTCATAATTTACTCATCCTCATGTCGTTCCAAACCTGTATGAGTTTCTTTCTACTGTTGAACACAAAAGATGATATTCTGAAGAATGTTGGTAACCAAACAGTTGACGGTAGCCATTGACT